ACATCGAATGTATAGTAACTCTTTTTTTGTACTTTTTTTTTTACTCCTTGATGAAAGAAGACTGCCAACAACTCAACGAAACGGCGAAAAGCAAAACAAGAACGAAGAAGAACTAATTAAAATATAAGAAGAAACTAAGAAAGCAAATTAACAACTCAAACAAATAAAGAAAAGATATAACCTTCAATTAATTTGGAGCCAAATCTCTAATACCAACTGATGCGAACCCCGTAGCAACGTTGACTACGAAACCAACAACGAGATTGACGAGCCCAAGAAAGCCAAATTAATCCAAAGTTTCGGATTAACCCAAAAGAAAGTCGAACCAAAAAATTTAACAAGAACGACGCTTGAAAGATCCCTTGATCACGCAATCCAAGAATTAAATCTGGTTGTTTGAACACCACAAGTTAACACTTGATAAGTTCGAAGTTGTTCAATGAAGAACGATGAAGAGAAGACAATACGCCTCACTTTAATTCAATATCAATAATGTTAAAAGTTTTTAACAATTGAATGAAAACACCTATTTATACTAAACCTAAAAACTAGGTAAAAATCGTGTAAAAATCGAGCATAATCCCCAAAATATGGAAAAGAATCCAAATCTAACAAAATATGAAAAATTGTCAAAATTGAAAAATTCGCCAAATTTTTAACTGGTGCGACCGCATGGTTCAACAAAAAATGCCGACTTAAGTTTCGGTATGCCACCATGCGGCCGCATGGTGTTTTTGCCGTGCAGTCGCATAGGCTTATTTTCAGCCTCCGGTTTCATCGCTTGATAACAAATTGATCCAAGTTGATTCGACCTTTGACTCGAACATGAAAGTTGCTCCATTTTGAGTCCCAAACATGGTTTCATCAATGGTTTCTTGAACGAACAATCCCATCGCTTGTTTCACTTGCCTTCGTCGGGCTCGACTCTTGGATTATATCACATACTTTCACCACCGCACACCAGAAGTCAACTTTCTACCGACGTCATCTGCAATTCAAGTGTCGCGACCTGCAATTTTCCTCCAGCTACGGTTACTGGGTCCGCCAACATCAGAAAACACTCATTTTGTCTGCCATTCGTGATTTTCCAATTTATGGTCTTTCACACAATTGCTGTTTCGTTCAATGCCGTCCAGTTCGATACCCATAACAGCTTTCGTTCACAGTTCCTGCCACCAACCACATAACTTTGCTGCCACATATACTCCTTCTCTAGACACCTCCCTGATTCCGACCACCTCCGTCAGACAGTTGGGGACTTCGTATCGGTTAGGCTTTTTGTGTTTTGTCACGGGTTATTTCTACTTTACTTGATTACTTGTCTTTTATTTACGTGTTTTGCCATTCGCGTAGCTTAGTATTTTTTCCGAGTTTTTAAAGAAATAAAAAATAAAATAAAATACAAAAAATACAAAAAAAAAAATACAAAGTGACTTAAAGACCTTAAAAACTCTCACGAAGCCCTCTCTCAACAGGTCGCCAATCTCTCAACTGATATGACAACCATTAAATCGGAATTGGCAGAACTTAAAGACCTTCTCACCCAATCACTTAGAAACCCGGAAAAATGTCCTACGGATAACATTTCTGAATCCTCGACAGTAGGCCAAAATGTCCATAACACTGTTCGTCACACTCCCGGTGCCATACCTAACCTCTGCAATCCTAGGGCCCACTTGCATGATTTCGATCATCGTGAACCTTTTTTTCCTCATGACAACCGCCCTGAACGTCCAAATTATGATCAAAATAGAGACCATGCTGATGGCATCACTAGAAAAGTAAAAATCAATGCCCCTGAATTTGATGGCTACTTAGACTCCGAAGCCTTTCTAAATTAGCTAGATTCTATCGAAGAGTAATTCGATTGGTACCACATGCCTAACTACCAACGTATTCGTTTCGCCAAAATGAAACTCGTCAAATCTGCGAAGCATTATTGGTAAACGGTAACCCGCAACCTAGAACGTTTAGGACAACCTATTACTGTGTGAGGGAAAATGAAAACAAAACTCACTGAAAAATACGTCCCTCCATACCACCGTTCTCAACTATTAGAACGTCTGCTTAACCTCAGACAAAAATTATCGATCGTATTTGATGATAGATCTCGTTTCGATAAGTTGTTGCACCGTTCTAGTCTTGGTAAACTCGAGGACGTAACTATCACTTGCTTCCTTAATGGCTTGAGGCCTAATCTCAAACAACAAGTCGTCGTTCTAAGTCATTATTCCTTAGAGGGTGCTTTTCACAAAGCCCTCGAATATGAACGATACGCTCGACCACTCGTTGGTCGACGTGGTCTTTCAACCTTTGGCGGCCCTCGCTAATCCCATCTTAATCCATCCACAACTCCTGATAGTGCCCCAGTAATAGCCCAGTCTCGTACAATTGTTGGGTCAACATCGAAGTCTCCTACACTTTCTATGGAACCAATAGAAGTCAACCTTCATACTCTGCCTCTTCTCGCGTTCCTAAATCTTTGATTGTCAGTCATCACTATCAAAATAGAGGTCACATTGCCTCTCAATGTCCTCACCGTACCTTTGCCCTCAATCAGGAACCCCTATTTCCAACTCTCGAGCCCAACGAAGGTTCACAGTTGACCCCATTGACCATTTTGATGAGGAACTTGACCATTTCAAGCATTGCGATGAGGAAGAGGTTGTTGTCTCTATTATGAGATGTATCCTTTCCACCCCTATGGACTCTGATTCCTGGAAATGAACATCTATCTTCCACATGTACATCCCATGTCAGTCTCGCACTTGCAAATTGGTAATTGATGGAGGTAGTACTATGAATGTCATCTCCATATTAGCTATGACCAAGTTCGGATTCAAAGTCAAACCTCACCCTCGCCCTCGTCCTTTTAAAGTGGCCTGGTTTGATAGGACTTCTTTACCTGTCTCTCAGCGATGTCTTGTGTCTCTTAAGTTGGTCCATTCTATTCAGAAGACCTTTGCTGTGACATCATACCCATGGATGTTGCTCACATTCTTTTGGGTTGTCCCTGGCTTTATGATTACGACTTTAGGCACTTTGGGCGTGACAACATCTACGAATTTGTCCATCAACGTAAGACTATTCGACTTTTCCCAACCAAACCTTTGGACCCTTTAATGAAACTACCATCCAAGGCAAACCCCACTGACAATAGGCTCCAACTCTTGTCCCATAAAGAGTTTGAGCGTGAGTTTCACAACAATGGATTGATGTTCGCCTTAGTCACTAAGGCTTGTTCCCATCCCATCTCTGAGTCACATAATGATCACCCGCTTGATGTTACTTCATTACTGGAAGAGTTTATTGACGTCACCCTCAATGACCTACCTGAAGAGCTCCCTCCTATACGTGATATTCAACATGCTGTCGATTTAGTCCCCGATTCGCAATTCCTAATCGTCCCCACTACAGGATAAATCCTGCGGAAAGGATAGAGCTTAATCGACAAATTGAGGCCTTATTTTCTAACTGTTTTATTCACCACACAGTCTTAATCCTTATGCAGTTCCTGTCCTACTTATACCAAAAAAGGATGGGTCTTGGTGTATGTGTGTCGATAGTCGTGCCATTAACAAAATCACTATTAAGTATAGGTTCCCTATTCCGCGACTCGAGAATATACTGGATGAGCTTGCAGGATCTATGTGGTTCTCCAAAATTGATTTACGAAGTGGATATCATCAAGTTAGGATTAGACTAGGAGACGAATGGAAAAGGATATTCAAAACCTAGGATGGCTTATACGAGTGGCTAGTAATGCCTTTTGGGATGTCTAATGCTCCTAGTACCTTTATGAGGGTCATGACTCATGTCTTGCACCCTTTCATTGGAAAATTTCTCGTGGTCTTCTTTTATGATATCTTGATACATAGCCAATCACGAGAGGCACATCTAGATCACCTTCGACAAGTTTTCCTTACCCTTCATTATGCCAAATTGTATGCTAACCTTAAGAAGTGTTCCTTCATGCAGTCACAAGTTCTCTTTCTAGGGTTCATTATCTCAGCTCAAGGGATTTCTGCTTACCCAACTAAAATTTCTGTAATTCGTGATTGGCCTGAATCTTCAACATTATTTGAGGCCCTTAGCTTTCATGGGTTAGCTTCTTTCTATAGGAGATTCATCCAAGGCTTTAGCTCCATTACCGCTTCCATCATTGAATGCATGAAAAAAGGGGCTTTTCATTGGACGCCCTCGGCACAAAAAGCCTTTGTTGCCATCAAACAAAAATTGATAGAGGCTCGTGTTTTACGCCACCCTGACCTCTCTAATGTCTTTGAGGTTGCTTGCAATGCTTCTGGTGTCAGCGTAGGCGGTGTCTTAAGTCAGGAAGGCCATCCCATCGCTTATTTCAGCGAGAAATTAAATCAGGCACGACAGAAGTATTCTACTTATGACAGGGAATTCTATGCTATTGTCCAATCTCTTCGTCATTAGCGGTATTACTTATTGCCCAGAGAGTTCATTCTCTATTCTGATCACCAAGCCCTTCGTTATCTCAACTCTCAGCGTCATTTAAGTGATCAACACGAAAAATGAGTAGAATTTCTTCAAGAGTACACATTCGTCCTTCACCACCGTTTTGTGGTCGAGAACAAAGCGGCTAATGCTCTTAGCTGTAATACCACTGTACTTCAAACTATGAGCACAACGGTGGTAGGATTTGAGCGTTTAAAGGAAGATTATCCCAGTTGTCCTTATTTTGGTATCATCTTTCAGGAACTTTTAGATAACTCCACTCGTGAAAATGTTGATTTTTTGCTCAGGGATGGTTATCTTTTTAGAGGAACCAAATTATGTATTCCTCGTAGTTTACTTCGTAAGTTTCTTGTTTGGGAACTCCATGCAGGAGGCCTGGATGGTCATTTCGGTAGAGAAAAAACTATTGCCTTGGTCGAAGACAGATTTTATTTGCCTTTCCTGAAAAGGGATGTTGCTCACATTGTGTTTCAATGTCGTACCTGTCAATTAGGCAAAGCACAATGTCAAAACACTAGAATTTATACTCCTCTCCCTGTTCCTCATACTCCTTGGTGTGACCTTAGCATGGATTTTGTCCTAGGGTTACTAAAAATTGCTCGAGGTCATGATTCCATTTTCGTGGTAGTAGATAGGTTCTCTAAGATGGTCCATTTCATTCCTTGTTCTAAATCTACTGATTCATTTTATATCGCTAAGTTATTTTTCAAAGAGGTTGTACGTCTACATGGGCTCCCTAACACTATTGTTTCTAATCATGATGTTAAGTTTGTTAGCTACTTTTGGAAAACATTGTGGAAACTGTTCGGGACAACCTTAAGTTCCGATCAGCTTTTCATCCTCAGACAGATGGTCAGACTGAAGTTGTTAATCATAGTCTGGGTAACCTACTTCATTGTTTGGGAGAGAAAAATGAGGTAACTGGGATTTAGTATTGCCTACTGCTGAGTTTGCTTACAACAATTCTGTGAATATGTCTACAGGTCATAGCCCGTTTGAGATTGTTCAGGGTTTCACCCCACGTCAACCCCTCGATCCAGTGCCATTGCCTCCTGATTGTCGTTCTGCTGCCCTGCACAAGATTTTGCTGATCATATTCGTGACTTGCACGATGAGATTAAACGAAAAATTGTTTTAAGCAATGATCACTATAAACTGGCGGCTGACGTACATCGTAGGCATGAAGAGTTTAAATGTGGTGATTTTGTTATGATATGTTTGGCACCTGAACGTTTTCCAAAACATGTTGCAAAAAAACTTTGTACTAGATCACTTAGCCTTTTCCCTATTATTAAAAAGCTTGGAACTAATGCTTATTTACTTGATTTGCATTGCACTTAAATATTAGTCCTGTTTTCAATATAGCAGATTATATCCGTATTAGGGCACATTTGAGCCTCCGACTTTGTCTTCTAACATATCTACAGGACAAACTCCTCGACCACCCCCTCGAGCCCCCATCACCACATTTTCACCTCGGGACATTGTTGAAGAGGTGCTTGATGATCAGATTATTGCTTCCCATAATGGGGGTTTCCAGAGGTTTTTAGTATGTTGGAAAGGCCTTCCGCTTAGTGATGCTACTTAGATTACTGAAGAGGAGTTCCACCAGTTGGATACGGAGCTTTTGGATGCCTACTTGGATTATACCTTGACGGAGTCGAGTTCTTTTCAGCCGGGGAAGAATGATGCAACACGAAAAGAGTTAAAAGTTTATTCAAGGCGAAATACTAGGATTAAGTAGAATTAAAATTTGATGTTATCTTTTAATTCGGTTTATTTTTGATGTTATCTTTTATTTCAATTTATCAAGATATGAAGTTTGATGTTATCTTTTATCTAGATAGAAAGGAAGTTTGTTTAGTTTCGAAGTCCTTCACTATAAAAAGAAACTTAGGGAATCATTTTGGAACAACTTGAATTTTATGAAATAAAACAGCCCTCTTTGCTTTCAGTTCTTCCCTTTGATCTCTTTAGTCTCTTTATTTTATTGTTTCTTCATCAAGTTTGTGCATATCCGGCATCAAGATATCTCCTGTCACACATTCTATGGGTAACTACGTGAAACGGGTGGTAGTCATCGTTACCTTTGTTATTTTCTTCCGTACTCCAATTTCACCCACTAACTCTTTTAGTATTTCTCTTATAATTAAAGAAGTTTAATCACGTGTTTGTTCTAATGGATTAGAATGGCTAAAATTTTGTTCATTCCATTGTCCTATACAATCTAATATTATGCACTAAATATACATTGCTGGAAAAAGAAAAAAAGAAATCGAGTCGCCAAGTACTGACACTATCTTGCTTATGGCTTGTCATCTCTACCAATGAAGTGGAACTTGTTATTTTAACAACTTTGAACCATTTTTATCTTTTATTTATCAACTTCCCAAATTTTAAGATTTATATTATTTCCACAAATTTTTATTTTTATTTTACTTTATGCTTGGATCTTGGTAGCCAAGATAATTTCACAAGTTAACTTCGAAGATAATTACAGAATTGCATTAAAATATATTTGTTTTATATTAAACGATGTATTCTTCACTGAATTTTATGTAAAGGAATTTGTGGCACATGCTGGGAATGTGAATTTTTTGAGCATTGGGAAGAAGAATTGCTGATCATTCCTTACAGGTGAAGATGATAAAAAAGTTAATCTTTGGTCCATTGGCAAAGCCAAATCTTCAGCGGTTAGAAGATAAAAAATCTATTTTGGCATTTTTTTTTAACACAAACTAAGTGATTATTGTTGCTTGGGCTGCAAACTGTTCGGAATTGTCCAGTTTAAACTGGTTGGAAGGATTATATCTCTATGTATTTGTTACGTTATGCATGGATTGTAAAGTTATCAAATTTATAAAACATTGATGTACCAAATGAGAAAAAATTTAGCTATAAAATGGAGGGTAATTGTGACAAATTGATTATTAAAGGAGGTATAATGGTATTTCCATTCATGAATGTATCTATCAAAAGGATTGTCCCTCAGAATAAACTGTGGCATCATAATGCGTTTTCAGAGCTTCATTGCATCATTATCCTCTTTCTTTTTTCATTTTCTTCTGCATTCATCACCTCTTCCGCTTCTCTATAAAAATGAATTTGAAAGCTTTGCTGTCTTACTTTTTCATTCTCTAGAGTCCAAAAACAAAGAAAAGCTTTCAATTCTGTAGATGATTGAGTACAACAAAACCCTCTGCCATGGCCTTCTTTCCTCGTTCAATGGTTGATTCCTTCTCTCTCTTTCTTCTTTAAGATTTATTAATGAACTTTTCTTGTTTATTATATGCATCTTTATTTTGTATGTACAATTTGGAATTGAGAATACGATCAGGGTATTCTTTAACCTCTGCTGCATATTGATTATGTTAGTTGGAAATTTCATATTAATTAGCTCCATCTCTCTCTGTTGAGGCGTTAGTTTTAAGGTTCCCCTTTAATAAATATTTACACGGTCATTTTGTCGTCTAATTTACGTTCAATGATTTTCTAATGGATTCTGTTCATTAATGCCAATTTATTGGTTTTAGCGACATGGATTTATATTTGTATCTTAAATATTTTCAAAGTTCTTGTTGAGTAAGCGAATATAAAACTGAGTACAACAAGTAAACAACAGTATTGTTTTAATGTACTTCTTTAACCTTCTCGATAGCATAATAGGCTTTAGTAGGTATTCCAAGCTCTTTTGGCTGTTTTAAATTCATACTTTAATAGCATGTTGCTCGCTTGTTTTTCCCATTTTGAAACAAATATTATCTTGCATAGCTTGGTTATATTCTTTCTTAATACTATATAGACATCTGTGCAAATAATTGTCGAGTCAACATCGTCCGATGACTAATACAGTTGCATTTTTCACTGAGCGTGCCCAAATGTTTAAGCACCACCCTAACACTCGCTACCAACATATTTCATATTGTTATTTAGACTCACTCACATTTGTAACAAGGGACTGAGACAATAGAGAGGCAAGCAGACAATAAAGCAATTGAGGCTGTCAAAAGTTTTGACAGTTCCTGAAACAACAAGCTAATGATGCTTGTGTCGTCAGATGGCTGCTCGTACAATTAATGCCTTATTGCTGACTGATTCAAATGCATTACTGTGTTGAATCCTGATTGATAGGGTATGGCTTCTATTGCACATTTGGTAAATTTGAAGCAATTAAAAGTTTAGATCTTTCTCTTACTCTTGCTTATCTTTTTATTTTTTTTTTTATTTTTTTGATTGAAGGATATCACTACAAAAGTTGTTGCTTGTGAAGTTAATTTTGATTAAACGACTGTTTCAAAACTCATAACAAGAATTATTGTTTTGAACTGCTTTCAATATTTCATATCCAATTTTAACATATTTTCTACGTCTCTTCATATAATTAGCTCTTTATCTTTACTTTTTTTTGTCGGACTTCCTTATGTACCAACTAAATACTTTCTTCGCTTCCCAAAAATTCATTCTATGCGATTCTCTCTCGTGAATACTCAATACTCAAGTAAGTCAACACATTGGGATGACAATTTGAACCGTTAAAATCGAAAATTACGGTTAACCAAATCGAATGGGGGAAAAAACCGAACCGATGGTGCAGTGAGGCGGATATGGTATTTGATTTTAATGAACCGGTTCCTGACGGTGCGGGTATGGTATTCATGTCGTCGAACCGAAACCGAACCAATTACCCGCTTAAAAAAAAATTCTTTTATTAGAGATGGCAAGGAAGTTGACGAAGAGATACATTTTTTTTTATTTAAATCTTAGTTAAAATCATTCTGAATTAGGTAGTATCGTTATATTCTCTATTTAAATTTCTTATTTACTATATAGTAATCAATTTTGAGTGTTGACTTATGCTAGTAAGAATTGTGAGGAAGAATGAAGATTGAATATGAGTTAAAATTGAAATTTTTGAATTATTGAGCATGAATCAAGTAACTACAATGCACAAGAATCAAGAATGAAGGAAAAGTTTGGTATTGTTATATTCATAATATTGTTTGTTAAATTTGTATTTTGCAATTGAAATTTGGGATAATGTTTGTATTTTCGTTTGGAATATTGTGTTTTTGTTTTCATTAACTCTCTTTTCATAAATTGTTTTATATCAATTTGACGGATGGACCTATAAAAAATAATTTACTTTCGTGGTTATGAACCGAATTGAACCAAGATATGAACCGAACCAATTTATGTGATTATGGTATGGCAAAAAATTTGATGGTTCAGGCCATGCAGTAGTATGATAAAAGACAGAACGTGTAAAATTTGACTGAGAAACTCCACAAATTATTATTTCGTATTTAATTGCCAATTTAACCTGGTTCAATAGATATTCGAATTTAACTAGCTATAAATAAGAGTTTTGTATATGTTATAAGGTTAAATGATTTTATGTATAAAAATGAAAAAAAAAAAAAAAATCGGCCACAATTTATCAATTTTGAATATTTTAGTTCGGGTGTTCCTTTTTTAATCTGATTGAAAGGAATTTTTAAAGTGTGGATTTTTTATTTTTGTCCGTGGATACTAATATTAATTAATCAAAATTCCACTTAATGGTATAATCAAATTAAAATGCCTGAATCATGGTTAAAAATACTAAAAGTTAAAATATTTTTAGTTAGAATCAGACTGAAACTTCAGTTAGAATTTGGCTCCTTTTACTTTTGGTATTTTTGTCCGACACTACTTTGTAA